CCCCCTGGGATGGCCAGGCCCCCATTCAGCAGCAATTACGTTCTGAAACTTCCAGCTCCTTATTTGCTACCAGACTTTTTTCCTCGTTGAAGAATGTAATGATTAGGGATTGACTCCCCAGGTCCCTGGAAGAGGGTTGCCTGGCCAGATGTGGCTGCACCTCACGGATCCCGTAGCCCCGACGCAGCGCCTTGCTTCGGGGGGCCTAGGGACGGGCCCCGGCTGCTTTCCAAAGCGGGCACAGTTACTTCCTTGGAGAGCATCGCCACCCCCACCCCCATCTCACCCCGTCTTCCAGCTCTGAGTTCTCCATTTGAGGCGGGACGTTCCGGAAGTAGCGAATCCGAGCAAAGCCCACCTCTTCCTTTGGTCGTCTTATCTCCTTAGCTTAAGTCCCCTCCCCCCTTCCCCCGATCCTGGAGCAGTTGAACCTGTTGCAGAGGTCGGGCCGCACCTGTCGAATAGGCAGGGCTGAAACTCTCCTGACGCTCCGCCCTGGGTCCTCGGCACCCATCGCGGGTGTGCGGACCGGGACGCATGCCCGCGGCCCATGGGTCTCCCTTGGTCTGCCATCTGCCTGCCTCCCGCCCCACGCCCCACGGTCAGATCCACTCTGTGCCTCGTGGGGGCCGAGGCCAGGCATGTGGCTCAGAGGCGTGCACGCTGTGGCGTGAGCCTCCCCCCGTGTGGTGGCGGACGGAAGGCCTGGGCCCTCACTCTGGCCCCTGCTGGGAGGCTGGCCTTGCGCTTAGCACTTAACCACCTGGGCTTCGGTTTCCTCATGCGTCCAGCAGGCTCGCTCGTTAGGCTGCTGCTAAGCTCTGCTGTTGCTTAGGGGAACACGGGAATGTGGGGTAAACCACCATCTGCCCGCCATGCCTGCCCAGATGATGTCCCCTTGGACCAGTTCTGCTGCGTCGGGTGGCGAGGGGGTTTCTCTCTCACGCCCCTGGCAGGGAGAGAGGGCTTCTGCTTCAGAGGCGAGGGGCTCACCCAGCAGCGGGCCCACAGCAGTAGCCAGAGGCGTGCCAGGGAGGGCAGGTTCCATGCCCCGTGCTCTCACAGGTGTCAGGCAGCAGGCAGCAGATCCTGGGGCCTGGCTTAGGCACCTTTGTGTACATAAGTAAGCGCAATCAGGAGGCTCTGAATCGGGTCCAAGACTCGGGTGAAGGCTGCTGCCGGGGGCGTCTCGGGTCAGCAGGAGCCCCGTGGCTCTGCGGAGCGGGTGGTGGTGCTGTGCCCACCTGCTCTGTATGAGGGGCTCCCGGGCCGGGAGCACTGTGGCGGTGTCATCACATAAATGTCCCCACCTGACCGTGGTAACCTTTCTTTCCCCTCTCTGCATTTTGACTCTATCCCTTTGTTGTGACAAACAAGCCTTCTCAGTCTGTCGGAGGCTGTGTGTGGACTCGGCCTCATTATCCAGTTAATCTCTGTTTGCAGTCACATGTTGGCCCCCCTGGGGGCGTCTGCCTGCCTGTTAATCCCGAGCTTATTTCTCATTGTCCCTGACGGGAGAGCTGGATGGCACATGCCGTGGTCAGCCCTGTGGGGCGACTGTCCACAATGGGCCCGACCAGCCAGACAGGAGGGCCGGGCGCTGCGGGCTGCCCACGTCATGGGGTCAGGGTCTGGGTCCCCGGTCAGGGGCCTGGGGGGACACAGCCAGAGAAGCCCCGGCAGCTCGTCCTGGAGTCGGGCAGGTGGAGTCCTTTGACCTCTGGTGGCACCGCGGCCACCCCGCCCCTGTCCTGGTGTCCGAGGCTGTGGCGCACGTCACTGCCTTCTTCCTTTCGAGTTCTCTCTGGTGCCTGTCCTGTGCTCCCACTCTGGACTCGTGTCTTGCCCCCGGCAGCCCGGAGGGAAGGGGTGTGTGTCTGCGGGAAGCCAGCGGCCCGAGGAGTGAGGCCAAGGCCACAGTGCCCGCAGGCCCCTGTGCAGCCGGGCGCCTGGGGCGCTGCCCACCCGGGGGTCTCCCCTCACAAGCGCACTGGGAGGCTGGGGGGCTCTGCACCGTCGGCCCGCACCCAGGCCCTTCCCTCTCAGGGGTCCGCCTCCACGAGAGTGGGGGGTTCCTGGGGAGCGGGCAGGGTGCCACGTCAGGGCGTCGGGAGGAGGTGTGGGAGGTCGCCCGGGTAGCGGTGAGCACAGCCTCTGCCGCTGGCCGACTCCTGAATGCCGCGCCTGGATTCTTCATCTGTAAACGGGGATCAGAACCGGGCTGACCCAGGAGGCGGGCCCGGGGACTAAACGAGGTGAATGCGCAGGGCCCTGGGAAGGGTCTCTGGCACGCAGCGAGGACGGTATGTGCCGTCACCTTTGGGACCAGCCCGTCCGTGGTGGTCTGTGGGTGCAAAGGGCTCGCAGCTCCTCGGAGGGGGGCCCTCTCGGGGTCTGCACACCCCCCGGTGGCTGGGCCATGGGGCTCATGTGAGGCCGGCCGGAGGCACCTGCCCGCCACCAGGGCACTGCTTCCTCTCTGGGGCCGTGGGCACCTCTCGTGCCTCTGGCGGCCTGCCCGTGCCGGCTACTGTGGGGGGCATCCCCTGACGTGCCCAGCGGACAGTGACTGATTGCTTGAAGTTTTGAAAAGGAAGGGCTCAGACGGGCTTTTGCACGGGGCAGAGGGCGCCCAGCTGGGCCCTCGTTTCGGTGGGCAGTGCCGGCCATACCACAGACGGAGGGGAAGGGCCGGTGGCGGGCAGCTGTTTATGGGGGATGAGGTGGTTGCCCACGTGTTCAGACCAGCTCCCCACTGCTCAGCAGAGCCTCCACGGGGGCAGCTCCTGCCTGGGACACACTCTCCTGAAACCCGGGGAACCCAGATGAGACCCTGTTTCCCAGTTACCTTACTTGTTTTCACCCAAGTGACATTAAGCTCCTGTCATGTGCCTGGCACTGTACTGGGTGTTGTGAGGGATACAAAAGAGGTGGCCTGTCTCACAGGTGCTCTGAGGTCCGGTTCAGTACATATGCCAGACATTTAACAAATTACGAAATCTTGTCCTTACTCAGTACATTGCCTGTGAGTGGGGCACAGGGTCACACAGCAAGAACCTTGGAACGTCCCCTTTGGTGTGTTCCACACGCAGCAGGGGGCAGCAAGGCCGGCCTGAGACCTGGGCTGGCAGGGGGTGGGGTCTGCAGGAGAGAGGCACAAACGTGCCCTGTTCAGGCGGGGACAAGCAGACCACATGGTAAAGCGTGGAGTCGCGGGCGGGCGAGTTGGGCTGGTGGTGGCCTTTGATGGCCAGGCTCGGGGGCCCTGGAGGGCTCTGAGCAGGAGAGCGACATGGCCAGCACGGAGCAGGAGTAAGACTGAGTGACGTCGTGTTGGGCTGCCTTCCAGTGGGACATGCGGTGGGGCCAGAGGTGCTGGCAGGAGAGGGGACAGCAGTCATGGGCTGGTGGGAGCTCCCGACCCAGCTACACGGGACGGGCCCTGGAGAGACTGGCCTCGAGGACACTGTGCTGAAACTGACGTGACGTTTTCTGCCTCCAGAAGTGTAGGTTTTCTTAGCTGCCAGTAAACCTCTTCTTGTGTTTTACAGATTCAGCCAGTTATTGAAGAAACCTTTCCTTTTTCTAAAGTTCCAGAAGCCTTCCTGAAGGTAGAAAGAGGACACGCACGAGGGAAGACTGTAATTGATGTGGTTTAAATAAATGCTCGGCTTGGTGATTCACTCGATCTCGTTGTTCGGTGAGCGCCTGTGGGCCCAAACTTTCCCTGGTCTTGCCTCTCCAGATGAGACTGTGAGGTCCAGGGCAGAAGTTTAAAAAAAAGCAAACACCTTTTTGCCATTCTGTCCTGTCTTTTGGACTGAGCAGAGATGGATGTTTTAAAGCTCCAGCCCCCGCTGCCCAGTGTAACCTGTACCATCTATGCATGCCTACGTGCATAGAGGTCCTCCGTGCCAAGCACCAGGGATACATATGTGACAGGAGAATATCCGTGTGGGCTTGTCTAGAAAGTCAGTGAAAATCGCCTATCGTTTTTTCCAAGTTGTTCTTTCACACCAGATTTGCAAATTGTTGTGGCCCCTTCTGTTCTCATAGCTCAAGCTCCGTTTTGCTGTCTTAATGTTTATGAGTTACAGAAACTTTGGGTGCATGGATGGCGGCACCTAGAGCTTGTTTACAGCTGGGTCCTTCTCAGATTCATCGGTGAGCACTTCTCGTTCGATTCTCCTTCCTCTGTTCCAACTGCCCTCAGAGTTCCGAGTCTCAGGGTCACATGTGTACAAATTTGGCCAGTGACTTGGTTGCTCATTAAGAAAATGTGATGCTAAAGTTTCTAACTTTTCAAAAGCCTTACAGTTTTATAAGGACTAGGCCTCTTTCCACATGCTTCTCTGAGGTATTCCTCATGTCCATGTCCATTCCAGCCATCCCACTGGGGTCCAAGGCGCTCCAGCGTCTGCCCTGGAATGCCTGCATTAATCACTGCGCCAGTAAGCCCCTTGCAGCTTTTGAATGAATGGCTCTAGCCCGCGCCCTTCATTCCTGTGAAGTGTTTATTTCCCGTTGTGCGCATCCTCATTACTGCACCTTAGACACCAGCTTTTAGCTCTTGACGTAGAGCTGAGTAACTTGACTGGCTTATTCCCGTTAGACATTCACTTGGTGTGTATTAGATGAGGGATTTTCTCTAAAATTGCTGCTGTCACCAGTACAGATTTATTTCAAAGGAAAGAAAATGTTTTCCAGTTGTAAATACAACATCTTCTGATGTCATCTGACCAATCCCAGCTCTTGTCCTGAGGGGTCCCCGGGGTGCTGAGGGGCCAACCCCCTGTGGGGGGACCTCAGCCCCGCATGTCTGCTCAGGAGGGTGGCATGCACCCCTTCACCACTGAGCCTGGAAAGGGGTCATCTGCAAACATTCCTCTGCCTGTTCCCCGGCACCCTGCGCGTGCTGCCCAGTCAGGTGCCCATTTCCAGTCTGCCAGCCGACTGTGAAGTGTTAGAGGGCTGCTGAAAGGACGCTCGGATTTCATCAATACAGGTTCCCAGAAACAAGTTTATTCAAGAGCTAAAGTGAACGCAGGCCACTGTGGAACGTCTTACCCCTGTGCTGGCATATGCACAAAGGCTTAGAGCCGGAGCCATGCCGCCAACAGGACAGATGCTGGCTGCTGTCGGACAAGTACAGACATTACCCCAAACTGAAGATAAACTACGCTGACCATCAGTGCCTCCCACAGACTCAAGAGATCATCAGCATTTTAGAGTTGGAAACATACTGGAACAGATAAAGAGAAAACAAGCTTTGTTCTTCGTGTGACAAGCACTCCAGTTCTGTGACAGAAACGAAATGTGGACACACAGCGCAAGAAGGGACTCGAGGACTGTTGGGAGCCAGAGCGCACCGTCTGAGCAGCCCTGTCTGCACCAGGGTCTGCTCTGCAGGGAAAGATTTGGGGTTTCACTGAAATGCTGGCATCTCACGGGTCTCGGTTCTGAGATTTGGCCAGCAAGCGGGCTTAGGGCTACCCTTCCTGCACTTTCTGGAAAGAACTGCCGGTCATGCTCTTGAGCTCCCGACTCCTCTGCTTCTGCGGGAGCCGCGGAACCCTGAGCCCTGAGCCTGCCCCGCCGGTCATGCCCCGGAGCATGGCTGGGGGACACCACGGGGAAGGTGGCGCCGGCTAGCAGGGCTCAACGACCTGAGTTTAGCAAAGGACTGCACAACATTGCCCAAAACTAGCTGCAGATGAGGGAAGATGGGCTAATAAATTAGATCACGTCATATTATTCTGTAGCATCGGTAAGAAAACAAGACAATCCTCATGTAACATTCTAGGGCAGCCCGGGTAAGTTAACAGGCCCAAACCCTGCTAATAAATGTTAGCAGGCATGGCCATAAAAGCTTACTAATTTTTAACATTAACAGAAAGAAAACAGTATTTTGTTTATACTTACTCAGTTCACTACAATGGCTGACCGTGAGAGTCTTTGCCCCCTTACTATTTAGCATGATTAATAATCCCAGAAAACAGAAGGTCCCGGACTAAAATCACAGGCCTCATATCCTTTTCTTCTCAGATGCTGAGTATTCCACCTCACAAACAGCTTTCATCTGTCCCTGTGGCGTAGGGTTGGTAGGTCCACAAAATCAGTTAAGTTTGTTCTTTCTTTCCTGTCACTGTCTTTGGCATTAATTCAAAACATACGTAAGCTTAAAGTGTTGGCATAGCATTTTTTTAAAAAAACACCCAAAAGCTGCTAATGAGGCCACCCGTTTAGGCAGCTACTGAAAGGAATTGAAAGGCAAGGAATGAAAGGAGGACACATTATCGGTTTAAAACTATCGTAGTCTCTTAAAAAGATGGGACAGTTGCCCCACTCACGGCCGTGAGAGCCGGGCGTGGGCCAGCGTCAGGAAGGGCAGGCCCGCTCTCCGCGCGGCTCCTCCGTCCACAGTCCTCTTCCCTTGCAAGGTAGCCGGCCGGCCTCCGGAGCACGTCCCCAGCGCTCCTCCTTGGGGCTCAGAGCACCAGGGCTTCCCATACTTGCGTTGACTTCTCTTTGCTGACAGTGTTGAGGACGATGTGATTCTGGTCATACTGTGTGCCCCCTGGGAGAAAGAAGAGGAAAATGAACTTCATTTGCCCACAGCGAAGGGGCCGGAGCAGACAAAATTCATGACAACACCAGTATAACGAAAATGAACAAGGCGTGAAACTGTGCGTGTCAGGGACACAAGGCCGGGGAAAGCCCCCGACACACCTGAGGTCCCACCTCCAAGTCTTAGGAGCCAGTCCGCAGTCAGTCTTAAGATGTCTGAAACCGGGGGAACGGGGCAGAATCTAAAGGAGGCGATATATTTCACAATCTTTGCCCCTTTTCAGTGGTGGAATCACGGGTTTGAGGTACCGGCGGGGAAAAGGCAGGCAGTCTGGGTGGCTGTCAGATGAACAGGTTCGCGTGACACGGACAGCGGCGCAGGCCACGGGGAGGTGTGAATGGCACCTGGAAGGGTGTGGGCAGGGCTGGGGACCCGCCCTTGCACGGGACGCTGAGGCCCAGGTTCTGGACACCGGGCATGGCCTCCTCCAGCTCCTTTTCACTGGAATGCTCGTCAGGGGTACTCGCTAGATATTCCAGATACTTCAGTGTTAAAAACAGCTCCAGGGCCTCTTGTTTCTCCACTCCAAGATCATTACGGAGAGAGAGGGTTTTCTGAGTTTTCCCCAGTGTGGAATAACATTCTTTCAGATCCCTTATCCTTTTTTCAGCATAAGCCTCTGCGCCAAGTTTATATCACCAAGAACTCGATCAAAATAAGAATGGGTTCATCTAGATGCTAGATAAGTATGACTGGTGATGAAATCATCTTGTACCGTCGGGCCACGAAGAATGGAACATTCTTAGTCTCTCCTACTGCACTGACAAAATACCCAAAAGGTCTGAAAACTTACACTGTTTATCTTGGTAGTTGGGGGGAAACCATCTCTTATTCTTCTCTTGAAAGCAAAGGATTTATCATCACTGGTCACCTAGAGCTTCTGCACAGCTGGGCGTTGGATAGAATACAAGGGCCTGGGGTCTTTCACACGGAAGTTCGCAGTGGGTCCTAAGGCGACCACCCACACTGCAGACCCCACTGACACGCTCAGATCGCAGTGAGTGTCACCTTAAGATTCCAGAGTCTCTTTTTATTCTTCACGATTGTGGTGCTTTAACATAACTTTTGTGTATATAACACAATTTTGATTAGAAACCTGAAGACTAGAAGGAATTGAGAAACATCTGATTCATTCTTCTGCTGCCTTTGGGGAGAGTTAAAATCATCGCAGACTCGGCGTGTTTTCACCGTGAGCGTGAACCACCTTCCACCGTTGTCCTAGTGTGTCTGGACGAACGCCTGAATGCCTTCCAGGACACCCCTCAGCCCCCGGGGCAGGTTAGGAGACAGACACTGCCTGATAAACGCTACGGCTATATTCGTAGGTGACACATGGTTCAGCTGTTGTGGCTAATGAAACTCGGAGCCTCCCATCAAGGGCACTACAGGGAGGTATTTGCCTTTCCTTGGCCCAGCACGTGCGGGCCTGTTCTCTCCTGCCCACCAGGTGGCAGCCTTCCCCCACATTCTGAGACGAGCCTCCCGCCACTGACTCCACCGCTACCTTGAGATGCACAGAGAGTTTACAACCTTACAGAGAGCAACAGCCTTACTTCACAGGCACTGGACTGATGTGTAATGCGTTTTAAGAAGGGACCTCGGCACTTTAAAGTGAAGCCCTAAGGAGGAAACACCTAGAGGCCCGCAGTTCTTGTCCGAGTCAAGACCATGTGCCGGGTGTCCTTACTCCCGGTTGGCTGCCTCCGCAGCAAGTGCCAGGATGCCTGGACGGTTGCAGCTTCCAGAACATAAGCTCTGCAGCCGTGGCAGCATCCCTTTTTCTCACTCTGGTGCCCTCGTGTCTAGCACAGAGCCTGCCACACAGCAGGTACCCAGTAAATACCTGTTGGAAGAGTAAAAGATGGTGGGTGCTCCAGACTAGCCCATGAGGATTGCAGTGACCTTCGCCCTGGACACAGGAAGCTGGTCCCATTTGTAAGACACAGGAATCCCTGTTTCCCAGAACCCCTCATGTTCCCAATTTCGTCACATTTCTTTGCCCTTTTTGGAGATTTTGAAGCTCTTATCTTGTATATGTTGAGGAGCTCCAGTTTAACAAGTTGGTCAAAATAGTTATAAAGGGAGGGTCTGGGTCAGTGAGTCTTAACCAGTTTGAGCCTCAGGTTGACCATCTGTAAAATGGGCATTTTACCTGTCTGCAGAGTGACAGGCCTGCGCACCCAGTGCAACGAGAAGGAGGTAGCCTTGTACTGCTGTTCATTTCTGAACGCAGCACCTTCTCCCTTCTAGCCCAGCTCGCATTTGGCGCTGTGTTCGGTTTTGGTCCCTACTCAGCCTGCAGCCAAACGTTGCTCAGCCTGGGCTCTGCCTGCCCCTCACCACACTCGTCAGCCTCTGAGCACCCACCCGGCTCCTCAGGGGCGTTGTGAATTCTCATCCCGTTGTTAAGGGGTTGGACACTCTACCCGCGGGAGGTGATGCAGAAGTGACAGTCACTTCTCAGGCAGTCACCGAAGCCCCCAGTGCAGGTGTTCCGGCTTATTCTCCCTTACCCAGAAGAGTTATTTTAAACCCAGTTGCAGCTATTTCTTTGTACATATATCTTAATTTTTAATGACAGCTCTGGCCTAGGGCCCTGATTAAAGTAAAACTGAGCCAACTTTCTAGTGATGAATTTAAAATAGAGTATGTTGTGTGGTGTGATTATATTATAAATGTTTTACTGAATTTACAAACATATCATGCTAGCTTTTTGATAGGAAATGGCAAGTCTCCATTAATAATTTAAAGCAAAATTACCCTGGAAGACATGAATAAAACACACTATCTTCGTTTGCTTGTCAACAGCAACGCTAGTTCACGAATTGCCAGGCCTGTGTTTGAAGGTCGGTGTTCTGCTCTAAGTCCCCACAAATGGTCCTCCTAGGGTGGGCCTCGGCCCAGCAGCACGGGGCGGCCTGGGCGCTGGGTCCGAATGCAGGCACTCAGGCCCCTCGCTCCACGCCTGACCCGGAAACTCCGGGGGGCAGGGGGCGCCCAGCACTCGGCTTCAAGGAGCCCTCCCGGTGGTTCTGCCGCAGACAGAGTTTGGGAACCGCTGGCCTCCGTCTGGCCTTCCCTGTGCAGCGGCAGTTTGCTCTGGGTTAACTTCACCCAGCAAGTGTTCAGCTGGAAGCCCCCGGGCCGGCCTGATTCCTCTGACCTTAGACCTCTTCAGCGAAAGGCCACCTGCATATACATGAGGACCATCAACCGTACTGCCTGAGATCCTAGCCTTTAAACTTGTCACGTTCAGTCGAACACGGTCACAATAAATCAAATAGCTGGAAGTCAGCCTGTGTCCAGATTCCACATCAGCATTTATGGGTGAGATTGTGGCCAAACCGATGAACCCCTCTGAGCCTCAGTTTTCTGGGCTGTAAAATGGGGCAGGACAGGGGAGAGAGGGGAGGAGGGATAACACAGGCCTCCTAGGGTCCCCAGAAGACCGCATGAGAGGACGCATGTCAAGGGTTTGGCACAGTGACTGGCACACGGGGAGGATCTCCTACTATTAATAATAATTTTCAAAAGTAAAGAATGGATTTTTAGTGAACTAAAGAAAGGTAGCAACAGAGAAAATAAAGGAAATGGTCCTTACCTTTGATATCCAGAACCAGATGCGGCTTCAACTTGCTGAAGATCCTGCCATCGGACTTCAGGCTCCAGAACTGACTGTCGGCGTTCTGGTGGAGGGCCAGGCCCAGTTTGGAGCCCGACGTTACCAGACTCCCCACGATCGTCACACAGCAGTCTTCTGCCATCTGCTTGGTGGAAAAGAAGATACCGTAAGACAGTGGCTGCACACGCAAGTGTTACTGTAATCGGTTTCCTGTGTAAATTGATTTTTAGAGCTATCTTAGTTGCTAGCTTTATTTATCCCATAAGGCAAATCAGTTTTTAGCAGGGGAACTGTGGTCAAACAATACATATGCCCCTCAGTCAGATGGTGTGAGTGATGGGAAGAAAGTTCTCCATTTTTGTCTATTGGGAGAGACTTCTGCCCTTCGTGAGGCGGGCTTACTAATGAGGGAAGCCTGTGAGCAGTAAAACTGTCCATCGTGATGTTTTTCCCTCTCAGAAATCACCACGTTCTGAGACTGGGTCTGTAGCTAAGTCCCCCCAACTGTCCACTTCGGCACGACTTGACCTTCCGGAATATGACATCTCTGGTTTTTTTGAAGGCTACTGTGGTACTGAAGTAGCTAAAGGGGCACTTTATCATTTTGAAACTTGAAATTCCATTTATTGTCTTGTCTCTCCTTCATGAGAAATGCCTACAATTTTCTAAGGAGGTATGCTATCCAGCCATAAAGAGAAGAAAATGCAGATGCTGTGAGGTGTGTTTTAATGCAGAGATTTTAAGGGTTCTTCTGTGGAAGGGAACCCACCCTGACAGATAAAACGATGCACGGTAGTCATATGTTCCTATGACGTCAACACACATGCAGATGCTTGCCCTAGAAGATGCTTGGGAAAAGCATTCTCCGTTGAGAGGAAAGGACTGTGATAATCTTAAGACTCTTCTTTCATTGTTTTACTGAATTCAGAGTTGTTAAATGGCATCACTGGAATGTTTGTTAGAAATAGTTGCTAAGGGGCACCATTTCCTAGAATTACCGAAGATGATTCAAAGGCAGAAGTTTGCTTTTTTTATGCTTCTGTATTACAGCCACTTCTGTCTCTCGTGCCGCCGCTTCTATGCAAGCCTACGGTGCGCTCTGCAAGGACCAGTCTCCTCGGGAACAACAGCCCCGACCAGCAGGCTGCGCTCCAGCTCAGGAGGCTGTGGCCTTCTGCTGACTCGCGGGCCACCACATTTAAAAACCCCGGGGGGCAAACAGTCAAGCCCATAAGATCAAGGGGCTGAGAAGAGCATTTACAACCGAAGCGCGAGCCTCCCTAATCTTATTTTGTTCACCTTTGTAGTGTGTATTGTGGCAGGAGCGGTGCAAGCGGAAAATGGGCCATGTTCCATTTTACCAGGGGTGACAAGTAGGAATGGGTTGGGTTGTGCACAGGGCAGAATCTGCACCCTTCATCCTAGCCTGCAGGGTCCTCCAAAATGGAAACGAACCGGCAGCGTTTGTGTTAACAGAGCTGGGGCTTAGGGGGTTTCCCTGTAACAAGTACATGAAGGACAAAGGGGAGAGTGACACACATACTTCCTTTTTCTATTACTCTATAAAAATAGAGATACAAACATTTCATCTTGGGTTGGTGCCAGATTTACCTCCCATTTTAAGTTCTTAGAGTGGTTCTAGCAGAGTTAATAAATCGTTTCATGAAAAACCTAACTTATTTCTGTAAGTGCTCTAGGAATCAAGAAATAGCCTCTGCTTCAAGAAAGACGCTGTTACAGACCCTCTTACCCTAAAAGCTCACCCTGCATTTGATGCATCCTTCTTGATAAACCCAAATCTGATCGTCAGCACCGACATCCTCCATGACCTGTATCCTGAGCAGCTTCAGGTCCTCCAAGTTCCCATTGGTTGACATGAATAAGCCCGTTGCTTTGTTCCGGAGTTTGAAATAAATTCGTTTCTAGAAGACAAAAACCCCAGCAATGGCCACATGGAAGTCGTCCTGTAGGAAGCATCGACTTGGCATCAACAGCAGAGGCAGAACCCAAGGGGAGGTCGGATCAGTGATAATTGCTGTGCCCGAGTCTTAGAGGCTTTAGGATTTTCTCAATGGGAAGAGTTTGACGAAATTTCAAAGAAGAGCCTGCCCGGGACAGCCCAGGGCTCGGGGACATGAGGTGATGCAGAAGTGACAGTCACTTCTCAGGCAGTCACCGAAGCCCCCAGTGCAGGTGTTCCGGCTTATTCTCCCTTACCCAGAAGAGTTATTTTAAACCCAGTTGCAGCTATTTCTTTGTACATATATCTTAATTTTTTATGACAGCTCTGGCCTAGGGCCCTGATTAAAGTAAAACTGAGCCAACTTTCTAGTGATGAATTTAAAATAGAGTATGTTGTGTGGTGTGATTATATTATAAATGTTTTACTGAATTTACAAACATATCATGCTAGCTTTTTGATAGGAAATGGCAAGTCTCCATTAATAATTTAAAGCAAAATTACCCTGGAAGACATGAATAAAACACACTATCTTCGTTTGCTTGTCAACAGCAACGCTAGTTCACGAATTGCCAGGCCTGTGTTTGAAGGTCGGTGTTCTGCTCTAAGTCCCCACAAATGGTCCTCCTAGGGTGGGCCTCGGCCCAGCAGCACGGGGCGGCCTGGGCGCTGGGTCCAAATGCAGGCACTCAGGCCCCTCGCTCCACGCCTGACCCGGAAACTCCGGGGGGCAGGGGGCGCCCAGCACTCGGCTTCAAGGAGCCCTCCCGGTGGTTCTGCCGCAGACAGAGTTTGGGAACCGCTGGCCTCCGTCTGGCCTTCCCTGTGCAGCGGCAGTTTGCTCTGGGTTAACTTCACCCAGCAAGTGTTCAGCTGGAAGCCCCCGGGCCGGCCTGATTCCTCTGACCTTAGACCTCTTCAGCGAAAGGCCACCTGCATATACATGAGGACCATCAACCGTACTGCCTGAGATCCTAGCCTTTAAACTTGTCACGTTCAGTCGAACACGGTCACAATAAATCAAATAGCTGGAAGTCAGCCTGTGTCCAGATTCCACATCAGCATTTATGGGTGAGATTGTGGCCAAACCGATGAACCCCTCTGAGCCTCAGTTTTCTGGGCTGTAAAATGGGGCAGGACAGGGGAGAGAGGGGAGGAGGGATAACACAGGCCTCCTAGGGTCCCCAGAAGACCGCATGAGAGGACGCATGTCAAGGGTTTGGCACAGTGACTGGCACACGGGGAGGATCTCCTACTATTAATAATAATTTTCAAAAGTAAAGAATGGATTTTTAGTTAACTAAAGAAAGGTAGCAACAGAGAAAATAAAGGAAATGGTCCTTACCTTTGATATCCAGAACCAGATGCGGCTTCAACTTGCTGAAGATCCTGCCATCGGACTTCAGGCTCCAGAACTGACTGTCGGCGTTCTGGTGGAGGGCCAGGCCCAGTTTGGAGCCCGACGTTACCAGACTCCCCACGATCGTCACACAGCAGTCTTCTGCCATCTGCTTGGTGGAAAAGAAGATACCGTAAGACAGTGGCTGCACACGCAAGTGTTACTGTAATCGGTTTCCTGTGTAAATTGATTTTTAGAGCTATCTTAGTTGCTAGCTTTATTTATCCCATAAGGCAAATCAGTTTTTAGCAGGGGAACTGTGGTCAAACAATACATATGCCCCTCAGTCAGATGGTGTGAGTGATGGGAAGAAAGTTCTCCATTTTTGTCTATTGGGAGAGACTTCTGCCCTTCGTGAGGCGGGCTTACTAATGAGGGAAGCCTGTGAGCAGTAAAACTGTCCATCGTGATGTTTTTCCCTCTCAGAAATCACCACGTTCTGAGACTGGGTCTGTAGCTAAGTCCCCCCAACTGTCCACTTCGGCACGACTTGACCTTCCGGAATATGACATCTCTGGTTTTTTTGAAGGCTACTGTGGTACTGAAGTAGCTAAAGGGGCACTTTATCATTTTGAAACTTGAAATTCCATTTATTGTCTTGTCTCTCCTTCATGAGAAATGCCTACAATTTTCTAAGGAGGTATGCTATCCAGCCATAAAGAGAAGAAAATGCAGATGCTGTGAGGTGTGTTTTAATGCAGAGATTTTAAGGGTTCTTCTGTGGAAGGGAACCCACCCTGACAGATAAAACGATGCACGGTAGTCATATGTTCCTATGACGTCGACACACATGCAGATGCTTGCCCTAGAAGATGCTTGGGAAAAGCATTCTCCGTTGAGAGGAAAGGACTGTGATAATCTTAAGACTCTTCTTTCATTGTTTTACTGAATTCAGAGTTGTTAAATGGCATCACTGGAATGTTTGTTAGAAATAGTTGCTAAGGGGCACCATTTCCTAGAATTACCAAAGATGATTCAAAGGCAGAAGTTTGCTTTTTTTATGCTTCTGTATTACAGCCACTTCTGCCGCCGCTTCTATGCAAGCCTACGGCGCGCTCTGCAAGGACCAGTCTCCTTGGGAACAACAGCCCCGACCAGCAGGCTGCGCTCCAGCTCAGGAGGCTGTGGCCTTCTGCTGACTCGCGGGCCACCACATTTAAAAACCCCGGGGGGCAAACAGTCAAGCCCATAAGATCAAGGGGCTGAGAAGAGCATTTACAACCGAAGCGCGAGCCTCCCTAATCTTATTTTGTTCACCTTTGTAGTGTGTATTGTGGCAGGAGCGGTGCAAGCGGAAAATGGGCCATGTTCCATTTTACCAGGGGTGACAAGTAGGAATGGGTTGGGTTGTGCACAGGGCAGAATCTGCACCCTTCATCCTAGCCTGCAGGGTCCTCCAAAATGGAAACGAACCGGCAGCGTTTGTGTTAACAGAGCTGGGGCTTAGGGGGTTTCCCTGTAACAAGTACATGAAGGACAAAGGGGAGAGTGACACACATACTTCCTTTTTCTGTTACTCTATAAAAATAGAGATACAAACATTTCATCTTGGGTTGGTGCCAGATTTACCTCCCATTTTAAGTTCTTAGACTGGTTCTATCAGAGTTAATAAATAGTTTCATGAAAAACCTAACATTTCTGTAAGTGCTCTAGGAATCAAGAAATAGCCTCTGCTTCAAGAAAGACGCTGTTACAGACCCTCTTACCCTAAAAGCTCACCCTGCATTTGATGCATCCTTCTTGATAAACCCAAATCTGATCGTCAGCACCGACATCCTCCATGACCTGTATCCTGAGCAGCTTCAGGTCCTCCAAGTTCCCATTGGTTGACATGAATAAGCCCGTTGCTTTGTTCCGGAGTTTGAAATAAATTCGTTTCTAGAAGACAAAAACCCCAGCAATGGCCACATGGAAGTCGTCCTGTAGGAAGCATCGACTTGGCATCAACAGCAGAGGCAGAACCCAAGGGGAGGTCGGATCAGTGATAATTGCTGTGCCCGAGTCTTAGAGGCTTTAGGATTTTCTCAATGGGAAGAGTTTGACGAAATTTCAAAGAAGAGCCTGCCCGGGACAGCCCAGGGCTCGGGGACACGCCACGTTTTGGTGTTCGGCGTGAGATTTCTGAAAGCCGTCACACCTCTGATCGCCCCGAAGAGAGCCCGAATTCAGAGCTTCAGAGGCGAGGGTGGGGGGAGAGGTCAATTTCAAACTTTAAGCTGAAACTAAAGAGTTGAATTACATTTACATAAAAAAAAAATTCAAAGAACAGTCTATGCAAAGAGAGGGGAAGAAAAAAAATACCTGAACAAAAGGTCGCAGCGAACCTATTTGGCGACAGCCACTGAATTCATACCAGTTGGGGACCTCTGCCGGTGACAGGAGGAACTGTCGGCCTCTGTAGCCACCGAATTCGTAGGTGACCCAGCTGGAAGAGAGAGCAGGCGAACAGTGGGCAGCGAGCCCCGGGCGACTGTGGGCCCCGGTTATCTGTATTTCTAGAATGCTTCTAATTTTTTAACTCAGCTTTATAAAATATGCACTGGGGAGAAACAGAAAACTATCTAATTTTATAAAACACAAGGCACCCATTTCTTGACCAAAAGTGACTTCTGGGTACATGGTATGTATGCTGAAAAGATCCATTCTTGTAGAGAAATAAGTAAGGTTTTTCCTCCAATAAAGCAATGAAATAGATAGTCTTCCAGTGGGACAGGTTGGAACACCCTGTGAGCTTTCTGTAAAGCACTTTCAGTTGTAAGCCTTTAGTTAAATGGAGTTCTTCGTGTGTAGCATATGGTACATGCTATAAAGGTTAAATAAAGATAAATGACTCAACAAATTTGTTTAAAATGACAGTTATCTTTTGCAATCTAGAAAACTGCTACAGATGCTCAGTCTCTCCCACTAAGAGACGGGGGCGCCCACCCCTGGAGGGACGTGGTGGACACGGGCGTGCAGGCCACCCGGCAGCCTTCCTCTCTGGATGGTGTATGACATCAAGGCAGAATATTCTCTACTTTTAATTTTGGGACTCTAAAATGTTCCCATTTTCGCCATTTCATCATAAAAACAAATCATGAATTAACATTTGTCAAAAAACAAAATCACCCTTAATTCTATCACCTTGATAACCCATCGTTATTTTTAAAGATATAGTCCCCTCCAGCACTGGGTGCACACAGGTAGACTATACCTGTTATTTCTGTGAATAAAAGAAAAATGCTTTCTTAAATACTCCATTGATCGTCTTTATTCATTTTTATATCTTAGTTAATTTCAACAATTATTCAAAGTTGAGAAAAATCTCCCCATGTCGACCCTTAGTCATTGTGCAGAGCATCTGTTAGCTGCTCCTTAGCTAAGGGAAGGCCCCAACCCTTACTCCAAAATCAAAGGGTTTGGTTTTTCAAAGGGTGAGAAAAATCAGCTCTGTCTTGCTTGCTTTTAAGTGCGATAAACTTATTGAGTACTGGTTTGCAAAGCCTTCCCCTAGGAACCTGAGGGGTGTTAAAGACAAACCCTGACCTTAGGTAAACTAAAATTCCGGATGAAGACATAAAAGACGCCTCACACATGGCTCTTCCAAGGGGGAAAGTATATACAATGAAGGTGCGTGATTATTAATCCTTACAGAAAATGCAGAGTTATATGTCAGTTTGTTTAAGGTAATGCAGGAGTGAAAGAAGTGTATGACCAAACCTAACTTTTAAGATCAGTTACTTTATTCAATAAACGAGTAGGTAATTCACTCACATGCCACCAATCACCTGAACAGAGCGTATCTGCGTGTTGAATCCTAGGGATCGGAGATTAACTATTTCTGCATTAAGTTCGATCTTTTTCCCCTTGAAGTCTTCTCTCTCAAAAAGAATAATTGTTGGTTCAGAAAATTCCTGTTTAGGAACAAAAATAATGTTCTATTACTTATTTTTTATAATAATTTGAAGTCACGTGAAAATCATCCTGTTACAAGGACAGAACACAAGATCTGGCCAGACTCGGCCTGTCACAAACTCCGTGTCGCAGGAAGTCTGGGAGTTTTCATACACCAAAGCTAAGGAGAGGGAGGCCGGCGGGGGTGGGGGGCCAGGGGAAGCAGAGTTTTTCCCTTACACAGAAAGGCAGGTAAATATAAATAGTATTATAAAGCAGAGGGGAAATATCCTAGGCACAAAGGAATGGCTGTATATGCCTAGAATATCAACAGTTTCGGTGGAATTTATCTTCAGTTTTTCCATTTTCTGCTGAGATAAAAAGGGTTTGGAAAGCCACTGTAAACAGCAAAGGCCAGAGGGCCCGGCAGTCCCGGAGTCTGGTGGCCTGGTGGGAACCGTCCTGCACGCGCTCTCCGGTGTCTGGTCGTGTTGTTTCAGTTGTCCGTAGACAGCGATGCCGTGCGCGCGTGCTCTCCAACCCCCCAACAGGGACAACTGTCAGGAGGAGAGAGACCAGCAGGATGGAAGCCCACGCTCAAACCGTTACTCATCTGAAACAGGAATCCACTGATTTTCAGAAAAATGAGAAGTCAGCAGTCTATGCTTGTTTTTCAATATACAGAACCTTATGGCCCTAGATACGAAGCTCTAACGATAATACTAAACTCATAAATGACACATCAGAAACTCCCTGCCTGCTTCAAGGTCTGTGGCAAGGGTGTGGCACCTATTTGCTTTACGTGGATGCGCCCTGGCGCGTAGTAAAATGCTGCCAAGCAGTAAACCCAGCAGATTAGTGTGTAGGTGTCTGTATGGCGCAGGAATTGGGTTGTGTAAGATACACAAGGAGCCAGTGACAAAACCTGCAGGACTCCCACCCGGTGCTTCTACCGCACTGTCTCCGGGGGCCACTCCAGGGCTGCTGGGCACTCACCTCCAGTGCCAACCACCAATGTTCAAAATAGTCCCAGTTAAGATGTATGCTCTTAATATGGGTAAAATGTCCATTTCACTATAATCAAAACTTAAAACAGTATCATCTGTAAGTATCAGAAATGTGAGTATATAGGCCAAGTTCTGATTGAAGGAAGTAATTGAAAATTGTATCTGAAGTGGGTTTGTCTGTTCTTAAATACATACTTGTGGGTTGTTTTTAGAATATTTGGCAGGTTAAGTATCAAAGTTGTAGATACTCATGACCTGCAGGGTGGCGGCTCTTCCCACATCTTTGCATGTTTCACTGCTGCTATTTTTACACCTCGAGGAAGGCCAACACCTCAGTTATCTGGACAGCCAGGAAGGGATGAGGTGAAACCAACTCATGTGTTCTTTTTACCTTTAAAACTGAAATCACCAACTACATATGCTTAAAGGTTTCTGTGAGAAACCAGCTACCAAAAACTAACAGATATTTCCCAAACTACAAGCACACCCGGACTTTAGCATCTGAACATGACCTTGCAGCTTTGTTCTTTTGAATATGGCTTTGACTGTGTCAGAGCTGAAGACTTCTGTTCAAGGAGAGGGGCACTGCAACCCAGATTAGCACATACATTATAAACGGGAGAAGTCATTTGATTGCAAATCTCTACATTTTACAACAGAGTAATAAATAGATTTCCAAATTGTAAGGAATTGGTGCACATCGGTGACAACAAAAGATACAGGAAATGAAAGAGCTGGGCAGACAACATAAAGAGGCACCTCACCGACCCGGAAGCGCAAAGGACTAAAGAAGTACGTGAGATACCCTCGCTGGTAGTGAGACAAATTAACAGCACGAGGTGACTTTCTACCCTAACTCCTTCGCAATGACAGAAGTTAGGAAGTAAGGAATACTCAGAAATGGCCATGATGGGGGAAATAGGAAGCCCACGTGCAGCCAGCAAGACTAACATGGTGGCATTTGGCAGAACTGAGTGAAACTGCAAACTCATGCAGCTGAACTCCAGCCGGTCCCCCTGGGCACAAGAGATGCCCACACAGGCCCGCAGGGGTGCGCACGTGAGGATGAGTAAAACCCGGAGATGGAACTCTTGCAGCAGTCAGGACCAACACACTAGATGCGCAAACAGCACAAGGGACAGCACGTACAGTTTTTAAATCCAAGTACCGGGTTATGTGTGTAACAATGAGAAGCATAGCATAATACTGCAAATAAATCAAAAGCCTATATACCATCTTTTAAAAAGCACTTTACAAGTAATCCAAGCTGCATCCAAAACCCATCAGAATGGGTGCCTGTAAAGGGGCTTAGAGGAGGAGGCGGCTCAGGTATGAAGTGGAAACAAACAAGACGGAGGGACCCGGAACCAAGCCTGAGGGGCCGGACGCCACTACCGCCTCACCGCTCCGCTCCTGAAGCTGAGAAAATGGCAAACGAGAACAATTCCTACATTGAGGATCGAACATGATATCAAACGTTCCAGGATGGAAAGCTGCACCGCCCTGACGTAAGGCGCCGAGTAAGGCTACCTCTGGTCTCCTCCGGGTGCCTGTCGGCTGGTGCACCACCCAGCCCTGCGGCCACACTCACACTGACATACTTACAACATGGATGAAACGAAGAGACTTGAACACCACTCCAGGCGGGCATCCCATCGCAGAGGGACAGGGATAGTGGCCTTCCTCCAGCACATACTGGTTACCGGAGAAATCCTCTCCGTCGTAGGCGACCCAGCTACGGGAGGAGAAACCGCACACACACGGCAGGCAGCGTGAGGACCCCTCTGGGAGCGAGCCCCTCAGGGGCGCCCTGTTATCGGTAAGCTCAGGGCCCGTGGCCAACAGTGCGTTTCCTTCCAATGTCTGGCATATTTACTGCGCTCCACCCTGGCACGTTCACCTTCAAATCGAGTCAGTCGCTAACTCTGCACCTGGGAATAAGACTTCCTTCTCTGTGGCCTCACCCAAGTGTTCACCTCTCCGCCCTCTGGCGTTCCTGCTCCTGCCCTGAGGGTCACCTTTTCCAGCCAGTGTAGTGTTGTCAGGCCCTCGAGTCCACCTGACTCTACTGATTTCCTCCCAAAATGTCTCTCACTCTTTTATGCTCATTTCCAACACCTCTACCCTGGGCCAGGCATCGAAACACCCAAGTGACTCAGACAAGTCACAAGGCCCTCTCTGGGCCTCAGCATTGGTGACAAAAGGTGATGCACACGCTTCCCGAGAAGGGGTGGGCTTTGTTTGTTTGTTTTTTTTCTAGCAAATGCTTATTGAGGATGATTTGTGCTACAGGTTTCTGTTGCTGGGGGTAGGACAGCAGGGACTTTTGAAGTTTACACCCCAGTGAGCTGAGGCAGAGAGCAAATGCACAACAAAAGAGCACATCTGGTAGTAATGACTGAAGCAGGACTAGGGATGGAGAGGAACTGGGGCAGGGCGGGAGCACAGAGACGCTTCACCGGTCAGTCCCCGTGTTTGAATGCACAGCCAGGGTTCTTCCCACTTTGCAGAGCTAAATGATGTGATTGTGCTGCGCAGACCGTAAAGGCCTGTGTGATGAAAGGTCCTCTGATTACTATTAGCAGACTTAATTCCTCATCCCTTCTCGCCCAGGCTGCCCTAAGGGCTTCCCTGACCAGGTCTCCCTGACCCTGGGCTCTCCCCCCTGAAAAGCTTCTGGGAAACTAGTCTTTTCAGGGTAGCCCTGAGCCCCCCGTCCTTCCCATCTGGCGTCTCCTGCGTGTCTGTCTAAATGCACGTGCGTAAGTGGGGCCTTCATGCCCGGACCCCACCCTCCCTGTGCAAACCTGCTTCCCTCTCCCCAGTGCAAAGCTGTCCCAGCTAGAGAGGGGGGAGCCCCCGGCCAGCACGCACACCGGCTCCCCTCCAGCCGCACACCTGCCTGTCAGGCAGAATCCCTGTCCTTCTACCTACCTGTAACAAATCTATCTTAGGAGGCACCTTAGAGTTTCTAGGATCCCTTGAAGGTGATGGGACAGGCCTGCAGAGTAGAGAACTGGTCTGAATCCCATCGCACAGTGAAGTGATTTCCAACCTTCTCAACCTACGCTGCTCTCTAGGTCCTCTGATGTCCAGTCCCCCCACCCCCACCCCACCCCACCCCCGGTGACTAGGCTCTGCCGATCCGCTGTGTGCCTACCTGCCCCCCAAAACTCTGCAGGACTTGGTAGGCAATGAATCACCAATCTGACTTGTTGTTTCTTCAAAACTTTGACTGCGACCTTGAAACTGTGTTTCTGAAAACAGCTGAATCTTTCAAAAAGTAAACAGAACACATAAAATTATTTTCCTTAACACATTATTAACTCATTCACCCTTTGAAATGATGACCCAAACACGATCTGGTAACTCTTGTTCAGGAAACTGGCATGAATTTTATAAACCCTTTAATTTTCTACTTCTACATTAACGATCAATTAAAAATACTTGGGCTGCGCCATTCATGATTATTTAACTTAATTCAAGACATCAAAGGACAATTCAACAGTAGAGGCACCTTTCTATAGAACGCCCTGTCGTAACAAGCTGCAAGGCATTTTAAAGCTTCTTTGTGGCCAAAAGTAATTATTCATCAGTTCTAACATTTACAAGAAACTGTATTTTGGAAACACAGTATAGTTCTCCTCCCCCTCAGCGGAAGATACTTGCTGACTTGTTACAATCCTGTGTATGCTAGTAAAGGAGCTCTGGTGGTGTCTGTGCTTTTATAATTAGGGCTGTCCAAACACATCCATTAAATAGTCTAAGTAACAGATGTCACATGTCAGTTGATGTAGACAGCATTCAAAGGCTTGAGTGAGAGGCCATATAAAAGAGACCATATAACACGTTTGTCTAGCAGATGGCACAGAGTTAATAATACTGTAATAACTTTGTATGGTGACAGATGGTAACTACACTTAGCATGGTTAGCATTTCATAATATATGTAGACATTGAATCACTATGTCATACCCGTGAAACTAGTATTATGTATTTGTCAACTCTACTTCAATTAAAAATAAAAAAACTAAAGAAGAAACGAAGTATTTGGTAGTGATGGATCATCCCATCAGTAGTCACTTACTCTCAAATGGTTCGGGAAAATAACTTGTCTAATGCAGTCACAGTAAATATGAGAATTCACTGTACGGTTTACCACAGTAACTATATATATTGTTTGAAATACTACTCTTAGCATATTAACCTAAACTCTGATCTAATATAAATGATATAAAATTCAACTTTACATAATAAAAGCCCTTTATAAGAAATATTTACATATGGGTCAAAGCTGTCAAGCGTTAAAGTTAAGCTTAAATCTAATTTTAAAATACAGTTATGCTTTGGAGCGTAAGAATCAGTAAAACGACGAAAATGTCCCAGATGTCTGACATTTTACATGTAAGTTCAGCTTTTCAATGGAAGTTCCCTAGTTTCAAAATATATAGTTACCTGATTCCGTCTCCTTGGGCCAGTGAAAGAATCCTAAAGATGTTTAAAGGGAAGAGAAAAGAAAATGAGAGCAGACATCTTGAAAAAGTTCTTTTCTTCCAGATCATTATTAGCAATTACTGTTAAAAATAACCTCGGAATAGTGTCTGTAGCATTAAGTGTGACATGGGCCAGAAGTGCAGATTAAGGAAATCCAATTACATATTCTCATAGAAAAATACAACTCCTTACCAAACATATGGGTTGAACAGAAGAGATCTTATAATTCTTGCCTCCCCAGTCCTCGAAGCTGGTATAAAAGCCTTTATCCAGGATATACTGCTCTCCCGTGAAGTCAGGGTTTTCATAGGCCACCCATCTAAGGGGGAAAACATGCCGACTCGTTACAGTTCACAGTTTGCCCAACAGTAAACACGCTGCCACACACGTTTGGGCAAGTATGAGTCACTCTGGCTTCCTTTGTTTTACTAATAAGTAATCTTAATTTTTCTGACTCCCCATTAATCTTTCAGGAACAGACGGATTTGTCTGTATGACAATCGAAGAGGCGAGTGAAAGGGTGTTTTTCCCTGAACCGTTCGATGTTCTTGCTTATCAGATCCCATTTCCCAGAGGAGCTCCAGTGGGGATATTTCTTTCTGATTCTATTCTAGGACTCCCGAGAAGTACCAGTAAAAGTTCTTTTAATAAGTAAGACTTCTCTTTGTCATCACATTAAAATATTTTTTCCAGAAAGATTTCAGGCTGCTGTGTCTCTATTACCAAACAAACCACAGTGGGAAAAAATGTTGAAAGAAGAAATGCTTTTTTAAAAAAAGTTCAACAATCACAATCTTGTTTCACGCAGGATTTCTAACCTGGCACGACGGTGTGATAAGCAGGATTGAACAAACTCGAGAAATGCCAAAGACAAACCTCTTTTGGAAAGGTTTCCTTTGTTATCTTTTAAACTATTGACACTCAGGACATCAACAACAGCTTGTTGGGGCCATTTCCAAAGTCTTTAAAGGGAAGAAAGGTCTTCGATTTTGTTACATTCAAGAGGGAACTCGGGGTCTCCCCCTCAGTTAATTATTCATTTGTCACTGATCCTCTCCCATTTAAAGGAATAACACCTATATGCTTGTGTTATATACGCAGAACTTTCTGGAATTGCCTTTCATCCTTGAACACATTTAATCTCCTAGGGAGGTACTGGTTTTCCCTTCTTCTAAAATGGGAAAACCTAAAGACAGCAAAGTGAACCACTCACCACCCAACCCGCACTCACTGGCCCCTGACCACGAACGTGGTGGCAGCCCCAGGCCTCCCCACACAGACACAACCCGTGGCCTCCCCAGTTTCCAGGTGGGGGAGGCGCATCACACGGGGTTCCTTCAGGTGTGTGCTCTGATGGCAAGGGGCTGGTCGGGGTCACAGGCGGCACCAGGGGTGACCGAGCCCACAGCTGGGTCTCCTGAGGCTCTTCGCTCGTGACCTGACCGCTGGCCCTGTAGCCTCCCCTGCGCTTGGGTCCTAAGCCAGACTGAAAACAGTCCATGTCCTTCATAGTCAGAGCAGGTTATGCTTTCACTCTCTAAAGGACTCCACTTAACCAAAATCTCAAGTTATTATTAGGCAACGATCAGCCATCAAGGAGAAAAAGGACCTGGAAAAATCTCAAGTGGCCAGTGGCTTGTGGCAGCTGATGCCTGCACACCCCCTTCCGACCACCTGAGCGGGGACGGTGCTCTAAGCACCGGCCACTGTTTCAGGGAATTCTGCTGCCCACTTCAGGACCTCACTGGCAATTTAAAAAACCCCATTCTTTCATATTTCAAGTGAGGAATTAGGAGACCTGGCATTAACTTTCAGGTGACTTTGAAGAGGTCCCTTACCCAGTGAAGGTTTTGTTGATTTGTGAGGAAGGGAGGGAGCCTGGATTCCAGCGCAGGGCCCGGGTGCTGCCCCTGCTGCCGCAGCCTGGGACTGCAGGTGACGGCACAGCGGAGCCCAGGGCACTGCCCGGGCGGGGGGGCATCTGCACAGCAAGAAAATCTACTCCAAGGAACCCAGAAACTACAGAACCACAGACACCAGAACTTCCCAACAAGAGAGAGAAAAATCAAAGTTTGCCGTGTCACAAAAACGCCATCCTGGTGGGGCTGTGGCCTGTAACCCGGAGGAGGACAGAGCACCCCCAGGCCTCTTTGCTTGGCTGTGTGACTTCAGGGGTTGGCAGGGGCAAAGGGGGATGGGGGGGGGCAGACAGGATGGAGCAGGGGCAGCACTGAGCCTGCCTGCAGGAGGCTTCGCCCTCAACTTTTTAATTTTTTTACTAACAAGTGTGAGTTTTTTTCCTTATAAAAGAAAATAAATGACTTGTAAGGAAACACCTAACACCCAGGTAAGCCTATCTAATTCACTAGAGTTAAAAACAAGAAACACATTTACTAGGGTGTTGCCTGGACTGACAGCCGTGGTGTTTTCCTTCTAAGATGCAGCCCCAGATGAATCACCCACGAACGTGAGGGTAAAAACCCCCAAACTCAGATCTGAGAGCCACTGGCATCTCTGTAACTTACTCATGAGACATCGGCTGAAGAACCCCCCTGGCCTTGCCCACCTGCACACTGTACCCACCAGCCAGCACCCCCCTTGGGGAGCCCGGTGGGGGTCGGGGAGCGGCGGGGGGACACACCGGCCGGCCACTGCTCAGGGTTCACGGGCAGCGGGGCAAGGCGCCCTCCACGGAAAAGGATAAATAATGTAAAATGACGGCACTTTCATTCTTTTAACTGGCCTCTAGAAAAACTCCATTTTGCTTTTGATTTTAAAAAATTAGCCCTCTCTTCTACCATTTGAGCAAAAGCATCAAAGAAAACTGGAGATGGATCAGCAGGCCACGTAAGGGGCTTCTGTGGTCGCATTCAGAAATGGAACGCGGCTCCTGAAGGCGCAGTTACTGGGTCCAGGGCCCCCCGGGGCCCCCCCACCCCCGAAGGCCAGCCCCGCCGCAGAGCTCCTGGCCACCAGGGTACCCGGGGCCCCCGGGACAGCGGACCCACAGAGCGAGAAGCTCACGAAGGTTTTTTTCTGACTTTGGGTTCCATACTAAGAAATAAAGAATCAAACTGAAATGCTATCTACCAATAAAAATAAAGTATTAACATTGTTTTTTTCTTTGAAAACGATGGAGGACAGACAGGCTGGTCTTCCCCTCCCACGGGGGCTCCCCTCAGCCTCCGCTCACGAGGCCTGGCTCCAGGGCTGCCTCCTCAGAGCCTTCCTGGGTCCAAACTGGAAATGAGTCTCTCTCTGCTGTGGATTCCGAAAGCATTTCACCTCTACGTCTTTTGTAGCAATAACTATGTTTATATAAATACAGTTACTTCTTTGAGGACATAATAAAATGCCTTGCACATAATAGACCTCAATAAATATTTGTCAAAAGACCAACTAAATGAAATACAAGGAAGCAGCTGGCTCTGGTAAACACAGAAACCCTCCCACAACCACAGAATCAGGGCGGAAACAGAGGGGAGTGCACGCGTGTGCCCACCTCCCTGGGACTTCCTCCAGACCCAAACTCAATTGCTACCAGCAGAAAAAGCCTAAGCCAGGAAATACAACTAGAAATGAGTAAAAAGAGAAACACCCTAAAGCAACATTTTATAAAGGAAACAGATTTCAAGTAAACAAGAGCTGGGTGAAAAAGGCTGGCTCTGGGCACAATCTATCTGCGCCAACAAGAGGACTTGGGCAAATGCCCCACGGGTTCTGGCCGCCATCCTTTGTTTCCTCTGTGAGGGCGCCTGGCTGCGCTCTAACGCAGCCAACACACCTGATGGGTGTCAAACTGTACGACCGGTTCCCCAGATTGAGCCGGTCACCATTTTTCCTTTAAATAATTAACTTTAAAGGCAATCTAAAATACTAACGAGCCACAGCAACATTTCAGATGACTTCTGCAACCCCATGCCTTTCGTCTACGGCAGATTCTAAAACATTAGGGCTCTAGACCGGGACTCAGTAGAAGGCATTTCTGTTAAGAATGGGAGACCCAAACCTTGCCTGGTGTCCTGCCAAGACGGTGCCATAAACAACAACCTTCACAAGGATTTGAACATGACTAACGGCGTGCAGGAGCCCCACGAAACACCACAGAGCTGAAGTTAGAATGATTCAAATAATCTGTTACTCATGACATAAAAAAATTTATAAATAAAAAAATTTAACATCAGACACTTTCAACAGAACCAGTGTCAAGCGATTTCATATAACCATTTGAGAACACTCTCACAATAAACTATAACTGACATTGGCTGGGATCCTGAGAATAATCGTGTAACTCCTGTTAACAGACATCTGTCTTGGCCCATCCGGTCTCTGGCCCATTCTTTCTGATGCTCTTGGGCACTACCCACCCCGGTCACTTATACCTGGCTCCTACGGGCCTGACCGCACGTCTCAGCTCCAGGGACGGGCCCATAACAGGTGCGGACGGTCACCTCCTCGGCTACAGTGATTGTTTCAGACGGGCACACACGACCCAAGCATTCAGGGTCAAAGTCAAACCTGGAACTTCCTTAGGATAGAGTAACTCCTTCTGCTGGAAGCAGTAAGGTAGGAGAATGAAAGACCCCAGGATGCTGCCACAGGCCCCCCCAGATGGAAGGGGCTGCTTAGAGTGAGGCCAACACAGAAAAAAGCCCAGGCAAGATGCAGACCAAGTCCGATGAGGCTGACCTCCTGTGTCCAGCCATGACTGAGGCAAAGCTTCTCCGGGACTTTTCGGTTACACAGGCCAATAAACTCCGTTTTTACCTCTTATGCCAATTTAGGTTGGCTTGTAGTCACTTGCATCCCAAGGAGTCTTGACTGATCATCTTTCAGTAAAAACTTACTTTAGCATTAACAAAGCATTTAACTGCTAACTCCAGGTACACTGAAACAATTAGTCTTATGTTAAAATAATAGTGAAGAAGAAGAAAGAAGCAGGTGCAGGACCACGGGAAGGTCGGAGGGGGCTTTGTCCTGACCTCAGGCCTGTAAGGTCAGGTCACTATTATTATTTGATTCCCATCATGAGACACCCAAGAGCTCTCTTCATGTGGAATGACACGGAGGTGGACCTGAAGATTTTCCCTCCAATGATACGTTCCACGTGAGAAAAAGATCATAGGAGAAAGAGGTCAAAAAGCAGTTATGAAAATATGGTGGAAATATGTATTAAATGGCTGATTTAATGTTTAGTTGTTGAGATACTTACATATACACATATTCTATTAATTATACATATATGCTACTATATATATATATATATAAACACATACACACTATATGTTCTACTCCGTGTCAGAGGCTCAAAACCAGGTGAACCCGTGTCTCCGATCCTGATTGGGTCATTTCACTTACACTCCACTCAGCACATTAATAGACTGTGTCTTCAATCCATATCCGGTCTCCTTTAAATTAGCAACAATTCCTAATACATCAATACTGGAACCTTTGGATCCAAAGTTTTTTTCACTGTACATTATCATGTGAGCATTTGAAAAATCCTATTGAGAAAAAAAATTCAAAGTTCAAAGGCAAGCCATTGAGCATCCAAAAAAGACCAATTAGCCGATAGCTTTGTTTTTTTTTTCAACTTACACTTAATATAGGTCGTAAAGACTGCAGGTCTCCGTTGTAACCTCCCCAGTCCTTCCAGTCCTTGTATTCTCCCTCTTCCAGCAAATACTGGTGACCCATAAATCCAGGCTTCTCATAAGCCACCCAGCTGCGGCAGAAGCGACAGGAAGGGGGAGTGACTTTCAGTAATGTCAGAAACGTTGTCATCCATACAGCAGTTTCATCAACAAATACAGAGTCACAAAGCTGGACACGGACTTGTGCATAATGACTACGGGAATTCTCCTCTACAATTTCAGAGACTAACAGAATGGCCCCAAGATGACAACCTGAGAAACATAACATCGATGTTCTGTAAAGGACTATATAGGGGAGTGTGTGTGTATTTAATAAGAACTGACTCAAAAGAGCTTCAGCAAACAAATGTGGATAAACTTCTTTGAACAGTAATTAAGTCATATATATTTATGGTTATTTGCAAGATTACCTTCAGTGTATACTTCTAGAGGGAATCAGTAAGGTCTATAAAGTTCAAAATACAATCATAAAAAACAGAATGCAAACTAACAGTCCTATAGTTCGGAATATACTCTTAATAAACAAAAGTGTAGATATGACCAATCTGGATTGGCTAATTTATCAGCCCTGCACGGCTGACTGACCCCAAACTAGTCCCTCAAGCTGTTCGGTCAAATCCAGGTCCCAACTGACTGAGAACATGCTTGAAGTCGCTCTACGATACAATCTGGAATGTTGTCTTTGTAGTGGGGAGGGACTGGAGGAGGAAGGTATGTTTATCACGTTATCGAAGGGAAAATAAGAGAGAGATCTTTGCAGGTCACGCGTATCTACTCACATGCTTCGCAGAACTTTCATCGATCCCACCGAAGTGAATGGCAAACATTCATCTCCACTTCCTTCTTCTGTTCCAGCTCCTTCCACAGTAAAATTATACATTTCTGTTTCTAGTTCCATACATTTTCCTTCAAAGAAAGGCTTTTCATAAATAACTACCTGTAGCAGAAATGACATATACCAGTAATGTGTAAGAAGTTAAAGACCTCAATAGCTAATTATTACATCAACCATTTAATGGCACTAAGTCTTACAACACAAATGAATATTTTCTAATCATATTTCTAAAAAAATTAACTAAACAACCATGTCTCTTAATATGATTTTAAAAATGAAGAGTTTTTTTTCCTGATATGGTAAAACCCAAAGCTAAAGTTCAAAAGACAGTTTATAAATAACTGGTTTTTGTTCAGTGTCTAGAACTGATATTTAGAACTCGGCTAAGATCCAACTAAGGAACCAAGGTATTCCACTTTCAATGAAACTTTCACATTCGCTTTCAAATGAAACAAACACTAGATCAACCTATGTGTCATAGGTGTGCAAAGTAAAAATAGCACAGAGAGCATTTTGGAGTAAAAGAAGTTGTCTTAAAAAGAAAGTTTAGTCCCGGCTAACTGGCAGTCAACAGCAGGCCCTGCAATTAGTACACACAGCCATGAATTATACAACTGATACGACAACGGGCCTTTGAGCCATGGGTACACAGTCTGTTCACGATGACAAGTGCCACTAGTGTATCTCCCGGCCTGAAGGATGCCGCGTGTAAGCTGGGACTTCCTTTGGCTGCAAGTGTGTTTTATAGAGGCAGATATATAGAATCACACAAATATTATCTGTGTGGAATGGAGTGGGAATAAAATTCAAACATATGTATTTTTTTACCTTTGGGTCTGTAGGAAATTCAACTTTTCGGCCACCCTGAAAAGATAAATAACATAGTAAGAAAAACGGTTTTTGCATTGACATATTACAGGTATCTCACCCATGGCAGCTTCTGGTTAAGCCAGCAAACCTCAGCATCATTACTCCCGGTTTGCTCTCACGTACACCGAGACAGCTCTAAAATCACCAGCAGTGCAGATGAGGACGCGCGCGAGGCAGCCTATAGCGGAGTTCCACGGCTGAATCTGCACGTCATCTCATCAGAGGCATTTTATCACCTCATGTCATCCCAACAAGAAAAGTGACTTTAGTACCATAAGACATTTTAAGAGAAAGAGACCCCATTTATATAACTTTTAGTACAGCATATTGTTATAATTGTTCTGTTTTACTATTGGTTACTGTTGCTGATCTCATATTATACCTAATTCATAGAGAAAACTTTATCAGAGGTATGTATGTATAGAAAAAATATAGTAAACACAGGGGGCAGCACGTGTCAGGTATCCACAGGGGGTCGTGGGAAGTGTCCCCTGTGGATAAGGGGGCATCACTGTAAGTCCCCTTTCCAAAAGTATCTTTTTTGAATGTCATACACTTCACTGTAAATTATTTTAAAAACTGCCTTCAAAACCTGGGGCAATTCTTTCCTACGTTCACATATCTAATATAACTTTGTTCTTTGAAAGTGGATTTAATTTCAGAAAAAAGCCCCAAATCATTTGCATTAAGACCAGCAAACATGAAGATAATTAAACCACAAGCTTTGTCCAGAGGGGTAAAATTAAGATAAAAAATTATCTCCCTGACTTGAGAGCCTCACTGGTGCCACGGGGGTGGAGGGAGCGCCTGCTCCCACCCCGCGCGCACTGTGCTCAACACGGGGGACAAAGGTGCAGCCGGGATCCTGCCCTGGCTTAGAGTCCAGCAGTAGAGCAGAGCCCGATATGGGAGGAGGGCCGGGGCGGAAGCCCAGGCTCCTTTCAAAGGCCAGTGCTTGGGAGGAAACTCATTCTGACGACATCTGGTCCCAGAGCGCCCAAGCTGCCGCCCAGCCTAGCCTCCGGGCACTACAGTGGGGTCGCCCTCGTGTGCCCTACCCTTTCCCAGCTCTGCTGGAGGTGCAGTGCGCTCTCTCACGTCACCGTCTAAACAATCCTGCCTGGCTTCTAATGCCCATCCTAATTCATCATGACCCAGTACGCCACTACTCGGTCATCTCACCTGCACACTGGACTTCACCTCCCCCTCCCTGTGTGTCCACAAAGGTTTATGCTTCATTCCTTCCCTGCTGAAGCCTGCCCTTGGCCGAAGCTTTGTGCACACCTACGGCTCTGCGAGGCTGAAAATGCCTCGACGGCGGAGCACGTGGGCTTTCCCTCTTTCTATGATTTCTCTCCTTCCTACGATTTCTCTCTTAATGGGCACACATTCGTTTAAGAAGCCTGCCTCACTGCTTCAAGTCACAGCCTGGGGATTATCAGCGTCCAGCTGGTGAGGAATCGCTGACTCCGCGAACACTTCATAGATTTCATTTTACCATTTTCATAGGCCGCATGGATCCGATGTATGCTGCTTCTGTGTCCCAGAAGGATAAGTCAGGGTATTCACCAGGTTCCAGGATAAAAGGGACACCCTGAAATCCAGGTTCTTCATAAATCAGCCATCTGAACGAGCACACAGAAAGAAAAGAAACATAGGCAGTTCACCACTCCCCTCAGTGTTACCCAGCACCCCACCAAAGAGAGAGGAAAAGGCCAGGACAGGGTATTATGGATCTGGAAGAGGCCCGGTTACGCTTCGCCATCAGAGTGGTGCCGAACCAACCAGAAGAGGAATGAGCCGCCGCCTGGCTCTCTTCTCGATGTTTCGCTTGTCTCGGGCCTGGCTTTGTCCTCTTAATTTCTACTGTGAATTGCTTTAAATCATAAATATCTCTATCATGTCTGAGTAATGAAAGTGGGTCTCTTGTACTTCATGTATTTAGAGAGGCCCTAGCTAGGAGACCTCAGCTTTGTCTTAAAAGGCAACACTGTAACCAAAGGCTAGGCTGTTCCATCTACTCATTTGTCATTGTATCGAAACTTTGTAACAGGTGACATCCACCCAGAGCTTACAAGGAATGCCACCCCAAATTCCACCCAGTCCTTAAAACGACGCTCTGAGGAAGGAATAACCTTGCTCCCATTTTACAGAGGAGACCCAGGGCCGCACGGCTGTAAGCTGCAAACGCAGGGCTGACCCCCACCCCACCCCCACCGCCTCCTTAGCCAGGCCCCTCATCAGTTTTTGACAGCAATATGCCTCACCCCAGGGGGTGCACACAGTTTGCCCTTCACCAGGCCTCCAGGGCATCACTGTGAGCATGCCCTGATTCACAGACGTGTCCTCGGGGCTTTTAAGGTCTGTAAGGGTGCTTGTTCCCAAGGCCACAAAGTTTCTTGAGCTCTTGGGTCTGATTTTTATGGCTTTTCAATACCACACCCTCTGATGAGGCTTGTCAGCTGTCACTTCCACTGCGGTCAGAGAACCAGCAGCCCCACCCTCCCCCTGGGTGCTAGAAACCAGGAAGCCAGAAACAGTGCCTGTTAGGACTGTCTCTGCAGACTGGACAGGCTTCTCAATATCTTGGTTCTTGGGGAGGGTTCTGGGAAGGTGAGGTTGCTGGAGAAGTGACTTTTACATAAGAAAGGTGTTAATATACCCCCTTCATAAACAAATACAGAACCCCTGGGGATGACTTACACTCCCCAATTCTTTGTTAGTCTTCCTAACACACATCCTCGGTGGGGGTGAACTCCCCAGAGCAGGTGGCCAAGAAGATGGCTGATGTGAGATCTTACCAGCAAAATGAGTCTGATTCGCCCTCTTTGCTTTTTTCTCTTTTGGCCCAAGGGCAAATTTTGGGGGATGGTTTGTGTTAAAGATTCCCCTGGATAAATCAGTAACTTCTGTAGACTCACTAATTACACAGGAATGCACAGTCAAAACCACACTAAATCTGATATCGAGCCCTCTCTCCGACCAGAAAAAAAATTTGGTGTTGCAAGGGGAAGTGATTTCATTAAAGATGTAAAAAGAATTAAAAAAAAAAAAAAAACACAACACTAGAGACCTATCAACACACACGTGAATGCTGGGAGGCTGTGTGTGGTATACGTGGCGGGACAGAAACCAATCCACAGGGTTGGGAGGAAGGACCACCGCTGCAGTGGGGACAAGGGGACAACCAGGAGGGGGCAGGAGCGGGGGCGGGGGGCTCTGAGACACTGGTCATGCTGTTTCTTGATCTGGACGACGGTGACACTTTGAAAATTGACTCAGCTTATACACTTATAATTTGTTGTGCCCCATTTTGTACAAATGCTATATATGCTTAAAAAAAATTATCGTAAAGGGGAAAAAGGCTTATTTTTTAAATACCGCTGCAATGCCCTAAGCCACACAAAAACAGAGGCTAAGGAATGGGGTCCTTTAAATCTCCTCTCGCTTACGCATGACCGTCGAGGATGCATGACATATTTTTGGAGCTCAAAGCTCTCCCAGGCACGCTGCACACCGATTTCACGCCCTAACCGAGTAACAGCAGCTCCTCATCAGTTGTGCTATTAGGCTGACGGCCAGCGGGCCTCAAAGCCAGACTCCCACAAGTGAACGGGTGGAATTCTTCATACACGCAGCGCATGGCTCATAAGCAAGCGGCTCTGGGACGCTGAAATGCTGCGCACTGAAGTACTTTCCTTAAGTCTCTCCTCCTGTAGTTGGAGTTTTGAGGGGATTTACTCGTCTGATATAGAACATTTCACTTTCCTTGAAGCACATGATTTAGTCCCATAACATTTACAGAAGGAAGGTAATTTGGGGTAAAGGGGAACTGGTTAAACGTGTTAAAAAAGCTGACCATGTAAGCCAACACACTTGAACAGACGGCCGCTCTGTGACGGCGTCCTCGGTGCGTGCTTGCTAAGGGCTTGTGGGGCACGCAGACATTTTTAGGACTGTTCAGTAGACTCTGGGATTTGAAACCTCACAGACAGAGCATGATTCATTTTTCCTAAATTCGATTCCAACAAGATACATTATTCATGAGGCCATAGGGAGAGGAGGAAACGATCTTCACGCAGTGTTATTTCAATGGAGAGACGTAGAAGGTACGGATGGAAACCAAGCAGTCAAACTTGGTACGGTTAATGGGAAGCCAGTCAGCACACGGTGCCACCCACAAGGCAGCCTTTCCAAAACCGTTCAGTCCGCACCTGATCGCACCTCTAGACCCGACCCCTTACGTTCTGCAAGTTCAAGTGACAGAGGAACAAGTTAAATGAGACATAAGGAAACACTTGGAGACGACTCCAGAATGTGGCACGTTCTCTAAGACAGTTGAGCTAAATGCTTCAAAAAGTCGTGGCATGGGAAACAAAGCAGGGCACTTTAGAGATTAAAAGAGACTTAAAGAGACAGAGCAACCCAATATATTTATATGAACCTTGACTGGATCCTGATTAGTAATCTACATAAGTTTTTCCTAAAACAACTGAATTTAGTATGGGCTATAGATTAGATATTATTGTGGACATACTGTTAATTTTCTTAGGTGTGGATAATGATAGTTATGCAGGAAAACACCATTATAAAGAGTTTCAGGCCAAAGTATACAGGAATGAGGGCTGTGATATCTGCAACTCACCTTCGAGGGCTCAGGAAAAAAGATAAATATGGCAAAACTCTAAGTAGAGGATATATGTGGGTTCACTGAGTCATTCTTTCTGCTTTTGTGTATGCCTGAAACTTTCATAATAAAAAGTTGGGCTCTGAGACATTGTAGTCCTCAAGGAAATATACATGGTGAATATTATATAGCAACAAAAAATAATAAAGTATCAATATGGGTAATCTTAGTAACAATGTAGAGAAAAAGGAATGAGCCACAGGGAATTTTGATAATATTTTTTATGAAGTTCAAAAACACACACAACTAAAATAGTGCAGGGACAGATACTATAGGGTGAAACTGGAAAATAAGGGTATGAGGAAAACAGAAAATTCCAGAGAGAAGCTAACTGTGTGGGGGAGTCAGGGGGATGGTGGCCGGGGTGGGCTACACGGGGCACTGCAGCAGCGTTTATAATGCTGAGGTCCTAAGTAGGGTGGTGGGCACACGGGGGTTTGTTTTATTACTGGGGTTCATAATTCACAGCTATATAGATATTCTTCTGGATATATCAAGTATTTCATAATAAAACTGATCAAGCAATATTTGGCTATTAAAAAAATATCTCTTGACTTCAGAACACCTGCATTCTAACACCCAATCTGACCTTGAGGAACTGGTCAAAACCTGTTTTCCTTGGCTAAATACTGATGTTGGGATAGACGCTCCTTACGCTTCCTTGGAAGTTCTAAAAGCTTTTGTTTGTGTTTGTTAGAAATATGCCCCCCAGAAAAGATATGCTTTTACCTCTGGGGGAATGGGTGCTAGCACTAGCCAGCTTTGAAAACAAAGGTTCACAAACAAATTCTATTCAACAGGATCTGAAAGGAAAATTTATTGAGAAATTACTCAGGTTCCCAAATAAGAATCTGTCGAGTAATACCCTTACTCTGTGTCTGTGCAGGAGGGCCCAGCCCACGGTGAACAGGCTCTGGAATAAACCCCCAAAGGGAATCTAAGAAAGTCCCTCACACAGCAAAGGACTCCCTTACGGCAGCTCGCGGGGTGGGCGCACCAGCAGAAGCCCTGAGCTCAGGCACTGAGTGGTTCACCTCGCCCATCAGGTCTCCCCTTGAAGGTCTGTGAAACTACTACTGACCAGGTCCCAAAGCTGACCGGCCACGTTTAATGAGTCTAAACTTTGAAATGACATCCAAGGCAGCTTTCTGTTAGCCTAATGGCAGCAGAAATGAACAGGCAGCAAAGAGCTGTCCACGCCCATGCAAGCATATCATATACACTGTACGCTCCGACAGGTCTGTCACCACCACCCATGAGATAAATGTAAACTTACTGTAAAGCTAAGGGGCCTTATTAAAGTGCAGCCCATTACGCTTCAACGCAGCCCAAGCCTGAGTCATGAAACTTTTAGACACTGAGATTAAAATATTATGGCAGATGCCTGTTTCATTCTTTCCTAAGGAAGGTGATGTTTCTCAACTTAACACTGTAAGGAAAAGGGCATACAGATCTCTTTGATGGGAAAAATTGAAGATAGCAAGAGACAAGAGATAGCAAGATTTTCTTTTGTTTCGATTCTTTTCTTCCCAATCGCTAGATATAAGAGTACCCAAGATGCAGACGGCTTCTCTGCTCTTTACACCCACTCCCTGGATTTCATCCAGAACATGGTTCAAACACCTCCTCCTTGTGAGGAGTCCTAACTACATCTCCAGCCTCCCTCCTGAGCTTGGGTCTCACAGACCCATCCAGCCACCTTCCTGATTTCTTGCATGTCCAGCTGGCGTGTCCACTCAGCTTCCCTAAAACTGAAGTCCTGAGCCTCGCTCTCCCTCCTAACCTGCTCCCCCAGTGCGGGTCCCAAACCCCGGGCGTTTCTCAGCCCCTCACAGCCCACACGCAGTCCGTCAGCAAACATCAGTTCTACCTTCAAAATGCATCCAGAATCTGAGCTTCTCTCACCAGCATTATCACACTGCCTAGGCCCCCAAACCCCTTGCCTATGTGACTGCAACTGCCTCCTGGCTGGTTTCTCTGTTTCCACCCTTGCCTCTTTACAGCCTATTTTCTACACAGCAGCTAGAGTGATCTTCCTAAAATACAAGTTCGATCAAAATCCCCCAGTGATTTCCCATGTCCCTTTAAGTAACCTAAATACCCCCCAAGGCCTAAGTAGCCTGACCTGACATGAGACCTCCCTTCCTTCCCTGTCCTAGGTCATTCCGCTCCACCTTGACCTCCTAGCTGTGCCCCAAACATGCCCAGCAGGACCCTGCAAGCCCGCCCTCAACCCAGGCCACTCCTCCTGGCCCTCCCCCCTCACATATCCCCGGCCTGACTCCCTCCCTTCCTCTTGGTCTCTGCTTAAATGCCCCCAGAGACCTTTCCTGATCTATTTAAAACATCACTACCCCTGTCCCTCTCTAATTTATATTTCGTGTAGTATTTACCATCGGACACATTACGTTTGTATTGTCTTATGTATATCCCATTGGTAAAAACTTTTGAGCATTTTCTGAATATACGATATTTACAAATTCTGTATATTACCATTGAAAATATTATGTATTAGAAAACATACACAAAAATAAAACTGTAAAAGGAGCTTTTCAATAGAACATAAAGCCCTTGCCCTGGGCTGCGCACACCACGTTAGATCCCTGAACCCCAGTGCCAGCGCTGCAGCCTGCCCTTTCTTCCTTTAATTTCTCCCCTATCTGAAAAATTCCCGTTTCCTTCAAAATACTCTTGCAGTTTCCTGTGACTTGTGGGACCAACATCCCTAAGGGGCTCTGGAGAGTATTGTGTGATAATGTGAAAGGAAGTGCCCTGTGTGCTGGCCTCCATTCCACCTGAAATGTCAGGGACACGGCTTTGAGTTCATTGCTGTGAAGGTGAGATCTACCACTCAGCTCTGAATGAATCAGGCTCCTCTGTGATAAGGAAAAACCTACATTACAAATGCAGTTTTTACCCCTGCACTTCCTCCTAGAAATTGTGATTGCTTATGAGAGGGCTGAATCACAGTAACACAGGCACAAAAGAGTCAGAATTTTAAGTGCCTTGTAAAAAAAAACAACCTTTTGTAGTAAATAATTACTTACAGGACAAGAGACTGAGTATCTTAAGTCTCCTTTCCAGTACCACGCTCAAAATAAGCAAATATTTGAAATAAAACACTTACGTGCCCCAATGTACTTTAATGGAACAAGTCTTCTGCATGAAACCAAAGCCCTGCAGCTCCTCAGTATCATCAAAGTAGGAATTGAGGAGTCCTAACCCTTCTGGTTCAGTAAATAAGTCAATTTGACTAACTCTGTAATCCTGAAAAAAAAAAAAAGTAATCATTACACCATGTATCTGATTCTACAGGAAGTTACTTTTTCAAATAAAAATAAGCGTTCAATACGCACATATAATGCACAGACACCTGCCATTTTATCCCTTTCCTGCTGTGCCCACAACCTTGATTGCAGACGGTCCCTGGGGGGCAGGTACATTGCTTCAGTCACACGTGTGTGTGTATGTGTTCGAGCAAAGATCACAAAGATGAAGAAATGAACTCGAGGAGAGTTTGGGAACATATCTATTTCTCTCATCCTCACTGAAAAAAATGTCTTGACTTGGTGACCATCTTAGTGCCTTTGCTCCAAGGCAACCATCCGAGTGCAGAGACTGGTCCCCACCTGTTGTTTTGCACCCATAAGCGCCCTGTGGTGGCCCCCTTGAATAGGACCAGCCCTCTACCGCGCAGGTTTGGCAGTGACTGGTAAAGCCTGTAAAACGGTTTAACTGTAAAGCTGTTAAACCAAGGAGCGTTCAGGTGACTTCCAAGTCTGCACTTCAGTCTCTGTTCCAGGTCCTGCCCGTCCATGATCCACAGACACTCTAACTGGCCCGTCCTGGCTGAGTGCCTAAGTGATAATTGGCTATTTATTGAACCTCTATGGTGCTGAGCTAGATAAACTGAGGTACAGCGGAAACACGAACACTTGGGTTAGTTGAGGGAAGGCTCTTGCAAACATCACCAAAAGGACAAATTTAATGAACGAAAAACGTGACCTCCGTGAATATTTGTTGTGATGTATGCTCATGTCTTAAGAAACTATGAACACAGTTGATTAAAAAAAATTCCATGATATAGCAGGAGCCATAAAAGCGTTCTTACCCTTTAAGCATGACACCATTCAGAAAAATTCACCCCAAGGAAATAAATTTATAAATGATTAAAAGCACAAAAATGTTCACACAGAAAAGGACTAAGGCTTCAGTGCTAAGCGCAAAGAAAGGACAATATCCCTGGATCTGTATTATGATCACAGCTGCGGGAAAAACCAGTTAGAACACGGCTGAGGTGAAGTAGAGGATTCAGATTCAGAAAAATGAAGGAAGGACACTTTATAAGAGTGGTTTCTGGATATCTCTGAACGTTGCTTTATGACCAATATTATTTGAGCAATAAATAAAAACTGCAGGCAAATTAGTGTACTAACTGTGACATTTTGAAATGGAGTTCCTTATGAATTACTTAAGGTTAATCACATTATGTGCTTAAAACTGAAAGACTGATAATTTAGAATACAGGGATGATCAAAGCAACTCGGAAATGTTGGCCAAGGAAAACAAATGACATTTTCCTCTGCCAAACACTGTTACTCATTCTTACTCATTCTCACTTCAGAGCATTCCTTTTTTCCCCAAGGCACCCCAACGCCCATGGCTATTCTACAAACGGGGTTTCTATTTTTCCACGAGGAAGGTACCATGACTTACATGTAAAACGTAAAGAATCACCAAATCCCAAAAGCCACAAAGTAAGAATGATGCAACTTCCTCACCAAGAAGCGAGAAACATGAAATTGTACCCAATCCATAAAGTAGCCTCAGATAACTTCTTCTTTTAAACCGACATGAAACCCCACAGTTGAACTATCAACCGAATTATTTTTGGATTGTTTATTTTTCCAAACTAGAACTCCTATAAGCTATTCAAGGTAACCAGAACTCACAGAGTAACCAAAAAACTAAGTAAAAGAAAAACCTGTTCATACAGAACTCAACAAAAGCAAATATTAAATAAAGTACATTCAGAGATGGGAATAGAGGGCCAGGAGTGAGAAAATAACCTTTAGGATATATTGTGAAAAAAATGACTAACCAGTAAGAATGTTTCTTTTCTATTTATCTGAAGTATCCAAATACTTACAGAAAACATATCCACAAAACCCCAATCAAGTATTTTCCCCAATCACTTATTTCATAAAGTGAACTTTTTTTCTCAAAGTAGGCATCATCCTGGGCATTCAGTAAATATTTGCTGGATGAATGGATGAATTCTGGTTTTCCCACGACCTACCTGGACCACGTGTCTAATTGAACCAATCACCACGGGCTTCACAGACTCCGCCTCATCGTTTCTTTCCAAAATATCGTCTATACCCCAGAGACCAGAGAGTTCCAATTCTCCTTCTTCTAAGGGGATGGAGTGCCCTTCAAAATTTGGTTTCTCATATAAAATCCAGCTAAGAATAAAACACAACAAAACTATTGGTCAGTCTTCGTAAGAGAGGTTTAAACTACTCAAATATTCTGGTAATAGCCTCTCTGCCTACCTGCCTTTCATATAGCTTATGTATTCATAAGTCCAACTCTCTAGCAATTAAAATGCATAAATGCTCTCCACAACTAAAATATTCTGTGCATAACTAAGCTTCTGATAATGCAATAACTGTCAGGATCTTGGAGAACTTCTGGCTATCAATATGAATATTGCAGAGGTACTGATGTTCTATAGAATTGCCAGTTAGTAGAGACTTGTACATGTAACACATGAGGTCAATGGACTTTTAAATTCTCCTTATATATGTAGAAAACACTTCTCTTAAAGGGACTTGTATTTTAGAGCCCCTTCAATGGGTAGATTGACACAAAGAACAATTTGTATGTTAAAGGAATTTTAAAAATTTACATTTTTAAAATATCCTTCCCAACAATATCCAAACCCTAAAGGAGGCCTCATGTGGCTTTATGACAGGGCTGCTCTGAAAGGCTTATGCTTTCAAGAAAGGAGAGAAGCCAGCCGAAGTTGGGGAAAAAAGAAAGAAGTACTATTCTATATTCCATCAAAAACAAAATCATTCTGCAAAACTGGTTTTCAATGTTAGTTTCAGTCTTCAAATTTAGGAAAAAAAGTAATTTTATTTTTCTAAAGAATATGTTGAATATATAAAGAAGATATTAAAACATCTGAAACCTAATAGGAAAGATGCTACATATTTAATCAAATGGAAAGCAAAGAAAAGTTTACTAATTTTTTAAAACACAAATGTCTGGGGCGCTACCTTTATTTCAAGCAAGTTTATAAACAGGTACCAAAGATAAGATAAACATTTCTGCCAGGCCAGCGATTTTTTAAAAACTTGTTTTTCTTAATTTAATTCCTGTGTATTTCCTAGAAGCAATTAAGCTGATAAAATAATTTTCACCAACTTCTTTACTTAATCAAAACTATCTGTTGTCAAAAAGTTGGAAAGTAAGTTTTAGGTTAGTCCTCTGACATGTCTTTTAAAAAAATTCTACCAATATGACTACTATAGTTCTTACCAGCCTCACTGAAAATTCATAAACCAGAAGTATATTATGGATTCTGATATCCATTAGGCCAAAACAATGCTATATGGGGATATAAGGGAAAAAGAAGCTTGTACTGATGCACTTTCCTGATTTTTCTAGTGTAAACATGCATCAGCCCCAAATCAGAAACATGATTCAAAACTGTATCTTAGACAGGAATTTCTGTCAATACTCACCCATGACCAGTATTTTCTTCCCTTTACACAGACAGCTAAAGGAATGATTTTAAATAATCATGAAGGACTAAGAGGCCATGAAACATGTAAAACACAAACCCTGAAAGTCAGGAACTCAAAGTGCCTCCTTACCATCCTCTGACAACCTTGACAAGTATCACAGGAGAGAGGGCCCAAGGGGTGCAATCCTGGACGTCAGTGAAAACTTCCGCGCACGGCTCAGAGGCGCCCGGCTGACTGTATATCACTACCTGCAAGACAGGGCCCGTGGCGGCCCACGTTGTTGTATTCTATCAGACCACAGTAAAATCTGGACAAGAGATAGAAAATGACCTCACCTTTCCAGGTCGGGGGTTGATTTTATTTTGGACAATTCCTCGAAGTGTCTGTAATCAATTGAACAAAAACACAACAAATAATGAAATACTGCATAACAGTATTTATGTTAAGACAATTCCTCTTTTCTCCTCCTAAGACCCTTTAGATAACATGGTATTTGCCTTAGTTTATCAGTTTTGAAACATGCCAAAGTTGTATTAAAAGTCTCTTGAGTCTAGGCTAGTCAGAGCTTCTTGTTTTTTAACCTCTGCTGGAATTTGCCATTTCAATTTCTTCTCATTGAAATGCCCGGGATATTCTCCCCAATCTAGAAAATTCAGGGCCCAACAGTCAGACCCATGTTTTATGTCAGTTCACAGAGTAAGAACTCAGCTAAGAGACTATAAATCCAACAATCTCACTATTATCTCAAATAAAGAGAAACTGTAATGTTTTAATCACTTATCTAGAAGGAGCTGAATCAATTTTATGTGTTCATAAACACACCTTATCTGAATCTATTGTTTTTTCATAGTAACATCTACCATCACACTGCATGAGTAGTCTAAATAAAAAGTGTTTATGGTATATTTCACAGCATACATTACACATGGAATACTTAATCCTCTCTTTATGATGAACAAAATACACTTTTATATGGCTCCAAACTAATCATTTTCAAGACCATCTAACAAGACCAGTCAAACCAGAAATGCAAAGGTAATAAAAACAGTAATTGCACATGTGAAAACATTGTAAAACATGGACCTCGTTCAATGCTGCCCAGTACAGCTATTCTAAGGAGGGCCTTTGATCTGCTCCCTCGTGCATTATGCCAGAGTGGAATGTGCCTGAAAATCATAGGAAGACCTCAGGGGGGCATCAGTAGAAATCAAAATGTCATATCCTTATATGTACACACATTAGAAGTAGAAAAGCTAAAAAAGCCTGACATTTCAAACAAAATTCAGGTAAGACATTAAAGATAGAATAGTCATATAGCCAACAAAGCCCAGCAGCTAAAGAAAAGAAAATTCTAATCATAGAAACGCCTACTGAGAGTATACATAAAGCCCTTCGTTCCTTCACTTTACTCCACTCGGCGTGGTTTACCAAGGGATTCCACAGTGAAACAGTCTGCTGTCAGACCCATGGGACCCCTTGTGAGATTAGAGAACTGACCTAAGGGCAGAGAGAATAAGGCAGCAATGACAGGAAGGTGGCCCAGGGCAATTTTGTGGTTGACAAAAATATTTAAAAATCCTACGATTTCTGAGAGCTAAAGACTGATTGTTTTGTTTGTTTACAGCAGTGGTTCTCAAACTGTGGCCTGGGGAATCCTGGGTGGAGGGGGGGCTACCCAGGATACTTTCAGGGAGTCCCTGAAGTCAAAACTTTTTTCATGAGAAGAGGTATTTGCCTCTTTCACCTCTTTCTCTCACAGGGCACAGTGGAATTTTCCAGAGGGTCCATGACGTGATAGCATCACTGCTGTGATCTGACGGCTAATGCAATGTGTGCCTGTGTGTTCTGGTGTTTTACATTTTCTTTAGTGTGAGTTTTTATAATAAATTCGGATAGGCAGAACCCCTGTGAAGAAAGGCTTTTTGGGGTCCTCAATAATTTTAAATATAAAGGCATTCTGAGACCATCACGTTTGCAAACTTTTGGAAATAGGGATCTGGACGTCGGCTACAGTTTGGAGCGTTTCCCAAACTACGTGCCGTGATGGGCTTGCGGCAGCAGCTGATACGCATCAGAACGCGCTGCAGGGCCTGGTACAGAGGGGAAGGCGGCAAGGCATGTTCCACCGGAGCAGACTGCGTCGGATGATGGTCTCCACCTGCCGGAGAGCCTAGTTCACAGGCCAGGCAACAGTGGCGAGGAGCCTCTGCCTGCCTCCGGGCCAGCAGAGCTGACCACCAGCCCTTCCATCCTGCTGCTCTTTTACTGCCCTCCCTCAGCTTTGGCATCAAGGGTGGTAACAGAAAGGCACACGTGCACATCAAAAGCTGAGTAAACAACTCTGGCAGTCAAGTAAAAGAAGGGGAGAGATCACACTTGTCACTCAAAACTGCATTTTGCTGTCCTCTCTACGATATTAAATGGAAAGATCCAGCGCAGACTCAAATTCTTCACTCCCCAGTAACAACTGCAGGAAAAAATACCTCCCTGATGAAAGCTAATTCCAAATAAAGAGAAAATAGTGCCTCAATGGCACGGGATAAACATTTATTGCCACTTTTGGGAAGAAAGAGTGAATCTCACAGTACAAGAGAAGGGATTAGGGATAAGATTCCTTGGCGGGAGTTTTTCCAAATAAAAGAAGCTGTTTCCCAAATCTTCAAAGCTCTAAGTGCTGAGCATATTTACATAGAAATAGGTAAGAAAAAATACTTGTTTCTGAACAGATAGGATTCCACACCTTTCATAATACAGCACATACATTCACAAATGCCTTAAAATATTTATAGCTTAATTTTCCCTGCTACGAGTACTTAAGAACAGAATTTTAGTATCTGTTTTCTTGGTCCCTAGCAGGCCACATCAAATATGTGATGAACGAACAGAAAGCTACGCTGAACGAGCATAACCGTTTCTGAAAGAAGGACATGAATTACTCATCATCCCTCCTTCATAAAAACCCCACATAAATGGTAATATGTTGCTACTCACCGATGCATCTGAGAACGACAATCCAGAAAAAGAAATGTTCGGGTCAAACCGGCTGGATTTGAAGAGACCCATGAAGTCTGGGTCACTGTTTCCACTGCTGGACGAGTTCGACTTTAGGACACTTTCAATGTGATTAGCCTTTAACCCATCCTCGTTGTTTTTTGGTTTTGAAAATTCAGAAAATTTAGTTTCTGGCGAGTGTAGGTTGTTTCTTGAATCCAGATCCTTTCTGGCTTCCTCTTTTTGCGGGTCTTTTTCCATGTAGCTTGGACTTTTCAAACCTGAATGAGATGTGCTTGATGAGTCGAAGGTGAAGACCTTTAAGCAGGGTGGCAGATGTGGGCGATCGTTGTCTGAACCACAGGGCGTGGCACCCTCTGCCAGGGACCGCGCCTCAGCGGACCGAGAAAGGGAACTGCTCTGAGAAACGCTGAAAGATGTGGTCATAGTATTGACTGACGTGACGGAGGGAGAAAAGATTCTGTCTTGTGGTAGAGAAGATAACATGCCTGAGAAAAGGGCACTTTTTTCTAGCCTAGACCTCTTAACCCCACCATTTGCGACATCCCTGTTCTCCTTGTCATTCATTTCCGGAGTTGCCAGGGGCCCGTCTTTCCCGTTAGGGTGAGCGAGCAAGGACTGGAGGAGGGCGCTCTGCTCCGCGGACGCACGCTTCGGCCTCAGTTTAGATTTTGTGTCAAAGTTCTGCATCAAATGTAAAGCTGGTGACATGTCCGTCTGGCTTTCCCTTTTCTTCCCCAAACCAAAGGTAAACAGGTTGGGATCAAACACCTTTTCTAAATTGTCCTCATGGATGGGGGGCATGGCAAAGTGAGGGGGGGCAGGGTTTGGCACCCTGGGCTTCTTTTTCTTCTGAGGCACACACACGGTGCTGTCCATCTTTCTGATAATTTCGGTGAATTTTTCCATATCAGAGGAAGAATCAAATACACTATCATCACTCCCAGCAGAGGTGTTCAGAAGACTGACAGGGCTGTCCTGGCCCTGCGCACTTTGATCTGGCCTTTGCGTGGTTTCTGAATGATTTCTAGCGCCGGGGGGGTTGGTGGCACTGGATTCGGCCTGTGTGGGTTTTCCGTTGCCCTGACTTTGAGCTCCCACAAGCGGAGTTTCCTCTGATGCTGGCGGCATGGCTTGTGAGCCCCATTTGGCTCCGTGTTCCTCTCTGCAATGAACGTGCTTGAGTGACGGGCTCTTACTGCCCGGGACTTCCTCTTTCGGGGGAGCACGGCTTGCAACGGAAACCACTTCAAGTTCATTACTGTGACTGCTCGGCAACTGCCCTTCTCTGACTTCAGAGCTCTCTGCGATGATCTGGGAGCTCACATCCTGCGGGCTGTCCACAGGCAGCATGAAGGACCTGACCTGCACGAGAACCTTGGATGGACACTCAACGCTGGCAGCTTCTGGGCCTTGCTTTGTGGACAAAGGAGAGCTTGCTTCTCCACCTCCGCCTCCTCCCGGAAGTTTGGGGGGGGATGTCTTCTCATTATTCTGAGGAGACGTAGGCACAATATGGTCTCCTGACACTTTGAGATCAGTGCACAGAACATGACTTATGGGAGCTTGAGAACACCCGTCCTCGGGAACATGCAGAGGAATGGGTGCAGGCCGGGGAACAGAACACCCATTAGATGGCTCAGCAGGGGGTTGTGAGTCAGAAAGTGCGTCCTGCGGCTCCGGTGTGGCTGTCGGAAGGGAACCTCTGGTACCCAGGATGGAGGAGGTGTTTTCAAGTCCGCGTCCTTTGCGGCCGGCTGCCTTTGCTTCGTCCTCTCCTGCCAGCTTGTGGTCGTTGACAGGAATCAGAGCGGTGACCGCTGGCTCGGCAGGGCCGTCAGCATCTGTT